CTGTTGTTAGGATCTGTCATTTAAACCCGCCATCCTGGGCCCAACGTTTGGGAAGCCAGGCTCTGCCTGTCACAAGCCAGGACAAAGGGTGAGTGATGGAGGAGTAACACCTCCTTAAAAAACCTTGGTCCAGCTGACCCGGCTGGGAGCACCTCGTAAGGGCCCCTTCCCAGGGTTACGGGAGAAGACGCTCAACGGGTTTGAAGGCGGAAGAGGGCTCTACGCCCCAACGGCAGATCCAGCGCCAGAACCATCTTCTAGGAGAAGGGAAACGCTGGTTACAAACCTCCACTGCCTTGTGGCTACATCCACTCCTGGAAAAGGCTTCCGGAGTCAACCTCCAGGCAAAATCCGGAGCCGGAGTCCCGGAAGCAGTTCGTGACTCCGTACAACCACATTCTGGTCACTCCTGCGACGCAACTGGAACCAATCGTATCAGCTCTGCCATTCCATTGGACTATTTCAGCGACATGGAGAGGGGGGGATCTGCTACTTGGGTCACAGTCTATCCTCCATATTAATCTACCCAGGCCTGGTGCTCTGGAGAGGACACTCCAGCTTTGACCTCTTCCCAGAGCACGAGACCATCGTTTTTGGAGACTGAAGGATGCCAATGATCTGTCCTTTGTCTGGAAATGGCATAGGGTCTCTTGCTTAAGCAGGGGACTGGACTAGAAGACCTCCAAGGTCCCTTCCAGCTCTCTTATTCTGTTAGGATTATCTGTCCTTTGTCTAGAATGGCATAGATTCTCTCCTGCTTGGGGCTGGACTAGAAAACCTCTAAGACACCCTTCCAACCCTGTTCGTCTGTTAATTAAGCTATTGGAAATCTTTGGGTCTCTTCTTTAATGTAATCCAAGAAACCCAAATCTCCCAGGCGATCTCTTTTAGCCAAAGCTCGACCTAGAAACGAAGAGCAGCCCCTAAAAATGCCACAGTTGGGTTCTTACTGCTGCCCGAACTGATCCCGATCCCATCACTGGCGGGATTTGAAAAAAACCGATCAATTGGATCTGCTTCCAAAGCAAGACAGGATGGGATTCAGTCGAGTCCGATTCCTTAAAATGTTCGGGCGCCTCTGCAAAGCGAGCGTGGGCACCAGTCCAAATTGGGCCGAAACACTTTGGGGCGCCTTCGGTGAGCGGCGAGAAGAATGGAGCCACTCGTTCGATTTGTCAAATGAATCTGAAAGCCCCAATAAATGAAAGTTTCGTTTTGAGTCCGCCGGAACCTTCAAATGTTCTCATCGCTCCATAACTGTCAAGCTTGTTTCTTTTTTTTCCTCTCGGGCTTCAATTGGGTGTATAATCTCGACCGCTGTTAATTTGCAAATTAATGTGGCGGTGCGAAGGATTTAATGGATCGCCTTCTTCTAGCCAGTTGGGTCTTTTTTCAGCAAGACGCATTAGAAGCAAAACAAAACTTCGGCGGAGCTGTAAGGAATTCATTTCCCTGTCATTGCCTTTCCCCCAGCAATCAAATTATTTTCCGCAGCCAATTAAAAAAGCCTTGTTAGTGGATAATGCATCCTAAAGTTAACTTGGCGAAAAACTGCTGTTTCTTTTTTTTAAGGGAGCAGAGAAACACAAGAGAAACACAGGTAGAGCTCAACTTAGTGACTGGAGTTACGAAGACACTGAAAAAAAAATAACTTATCACCGTTTTCACACTTATGACCGTTGCAGTATTCCCGTGGGGATAGGATCCGAATTCAGGTGCTTGGCAACTCACTCGTATTTATGACGGTTATAGTGTCCTGGTGTTGTGGTCTGCTGACAGCCTGCGGAGCTGGCAGCAGAGTCGGACAGTGAGATGGCTGGGGAGGAAGATGGGCCAGTCCTGGAGTCTGGGGAAGGCTCTGATGAGGGCTCTGTGTTGGGGGCAGAGATGGGGCTGAGGCCGTCTGGCAGTTCTCAGCTCCCTTCGGAGCTAGACAGCAGTGAGGCAGAGGAACAGCTGGAGCCTGTTCCCAGTGTGCGCATGCGCAGAGGTGCCAGAAGGCAAGAACAGTTAAGACAAAAGGGGCGACTTGGGAGTAAGACTTGGAGATGATTGGCCCCTCCCATAAGACATAAAAGAGGAGCAAACAGATGTGAGCCTTTGCAGGGAGCAATTAGTTCCTCTAGTTGGTTCAAGCTCTGAGAAACCCTGTTTGACTCTGTGCTACCTTTGGCCTTGCAAAACTAATGGGCAATTACCGTATTTTTTGGAGTACAAGACGCACCAAGGTTTTGAAGAGGCAAATAAAAAAAAAGTTTTTGCATTCTGCAAACCTTCCAAAATCGGCCCGTTTTTCCCCCAAACAAGGGTATAAATAGCCCTTAGGAGGCTTGTAGAGTGTTCGGGGGTGGGGGCGGGGGGAATGAGCAAAAAGTGGCTAATTTTTCATGAAAATGGGCCTGTTTTTTGTAAAAAAAAAAAAAAAAGAGCATTAGGAAGCTTATAGAGTGCTCCTGGCGGTTGGGTGGGGGGCAAAATTGAGCATAAAGCGGCCCATTTTTTGCTCATTTCTGCCCCCCCAGCGCCCAGGAGCTCTCTGAAAGCTTCCTACAAGCTATGCATGGCCATTTTGGTGAAGGGGGCGGGGTTTCAGGAGGCAAAAAAAAAATGCTGTATTCAGTGTATAAGACGCACCCAGATTTTCAGCCTCTTTTTTGAGGGAAAAAGGAGCGTCTTATACTCCGAAAAATACGGTAGGTCTCTGGCAGCGTTTCAAGGGAGATAAAGGTGGGCACTTATCAATGTTACCCTGAAAGACTTTGGCAACTCGAGCAGACATCTGTCGGACTCTTCACAGACTGTTTGTGAATCATTACTGGCTCTGGATGACCATAATTCACAGCCGTTTAAATAAAAAGAGGGGTTTTGTGATTTATGCTTCCTCAGGAAGCCTAGGCCAGAACACCTGGGGTCACGCGATCCCCTTTTCCGACCTTCTGACAAGCAAAGTCACTTACGACCAGAACTGAGCCCAAAGGCTTCTGTTGCTAAGTGAGACAGTTCAGTAAGTTTTGCCTCACGCTTTGACCTTTCTCACCACCGTGGTTAAGTGAATCACTACCGTTGCGAAGGGAGTCATGTGGGGAAGTGAATTTGGCTCCCCCACCGATTTTGCTGGTCAAAAAGGGGATTGCATGAGCCCAGGGGACGCTGTGACCGTTATAAATACGAGCCAGGTGCTAAGCATCTGAATTTTGATCATCAATCCTTTTTTTCCAGTGCTCTTGTATCTTTGAATGGTCACTAAGTGAATCGTTGTAAGTCGAGGACTACCCATATGGATCTCCTGCCTGTTATCATGATGACAATGATCTGAGTACAGTGGTATTGACTGGAGAATATGAACACACTAATATTTGGATGACTTAAACCTCAAACCTCTTAAGACGATGCAGTCAATAGAACCTGCTTTACCTATTTTTGCAATTTATGACCGTCATGCCGGGCTTCACGACAGTGGTGCAGTGGCCTAGCAGTGGAGTTCTCACCTCACAGTCAGGAGGCTGTGAGTTTGATCCTAGGTAGAAGCAGATATTTCTCTCTTTGGGCACAATGAGAATGTATCTGCTGAACAAAACTCCTCATTGGCAATAGGAAGGGCAGTAAACACTCAGCTTCATTCAGTTGCCAAGACTCCACCCCTCAAGGGATTATGGGATCGTTAAACAAAGATGATTTCATTATCCAACTAGGGAGTGGTGCCCTGGTCTAGGGGTGGAACTCCTGCCTCACAATCAGGAGTTCTGTGGGTTCGATCCTAGGCAGAGGCAGATATTTCTCTCTCTGGGCATGATGAGAACGTATCTGCTGAACAAAGCTCCTCATTGGAGACAGGAAGGGCAGTAAACACCCGGCTTCATCCAGTCGCCCAGACTACGCCCCAAAAGGGATTATGGGGTCATTAAAAGACAATGATGCTTGCCGGGCTTCACGACGGTCGTATAGCGAGGACTCTTAGGTTAACTCCTAAGTATCGCATAGCTCAGCCGAAGAAAAGTGGCTGGGGACCTCAGCCATCTAAAGCAGTCTCTCTGATTTATAAGAGTTTAATTTACTGCCTGCAAGGCTCTTAAGACGGAGATGGGGAAACAGCCATTCCTCCCTCCCTCTCCCTGTCTCCCTAGCATTCTTCGAAAAACACTTTATTTCCTTCCTCTACGCCTTGCTAACAAACCTCATGGGGGGGAAGAGAACACACCGGCACGACAAAGACAATGAGCTTTCGGAGTGTACTTAAAGAGGGAGGTTTGACAGGCGGGGAAACGAGGCACAATTAGAGAGGCAGGCTTATGCTTGGACAGATGTTAACCGAGACCGAAAAACAGGGATGGGGAAAACATTTTTTTTTAAAGCTCCTTTTTGTCATCAAACGGCATCCTCCGGGACCGTCCTAGCGAGCCTTCCCGCATTCCAAGTTGGGTTGGCGGTTTTGGGAGGGTATTTTGTTTTTATTTTTTAAAAAATAGTTTCGCATTTTACTTACTGCCAAAATTGGGAGCTGCACCTGGAAGAGAAGAAAAGAGAGAGAAGGAGACAGTCAAAAAAAGATAAGGAGTCCAGGCATGAGGCTAATTATGCCGCCCAGAGTCCGATTGTAGGACAGACGGGCGGCATAAAAATTTAATCCATCAATTAATTAAAAGGCTGCTATCTAAGGGGCTACCACAAAGAAGAGGGGGTACACCTCTCCTCCAAAGCAAGGCAAGAAACAGTGGATGGAGATTATTAAGAATATCAGAGTCGGAAGAGACCTTGGAGGTCTTCTAGTCCAACCCCCTGCATAGGCAGGAAACTCTATACCTAGATAGAAGATAGATAGATAGATAGATAGATAGATAGATAGATAGATAGATAGATAGATAGATAGATAGATGTAGAATATCAGAGTTAGAAGGGACCTTGGAGGTCTTCTTGTCCAACCCCCTGCATAGACAGGAGGTCCCTTCTAGCTCTATGCCGATTATGTTGCATATCTGCCTGAAATGGGATAGAGTCTCCTGCTTAAGCAGAGAGGTTGGACTAGAAGACCTCCAAGGTCCCTTCCCACTCTGCTATTCTGTATATATGAAATTAACAAACAGGGGAGTGAAAAAAATATATCAGCCCATCCCTTCTTATAGCAACTTCAAAAGAATGACCAACTAATGAAATTAGCATCCAGTTTGCCTGAACCGATCCAAACCAACTGAATCCCATCCCTGCATGAAGTTACTTCCCTGTCCCCATCCCTGCTGGCTTCCCATGGAACTGATTTGGCTTTTGGTGGTCGAGATGAGGCTACAACTCAAGGAGACGATGCTTCTCCTCCTGGTGGTGGCCTTCAGCTCCTAGCTGCCTTTCCCGCCATACTTACACACGTTAGGAGAACCGTTGGGACGGGGAAGGTAGGATCCGGCCTTCCAAGACTTGCTCCGGAAATTCTTCTTACATCTGCCACAGTCCTGTCCCGTTGTGTTATGTTCACATTCACACTGGAGACTTCCTTCCTTGAAAATGCACTGGTTGGCATGGAGATTACATTTACACCTGCAGGGGAAACAGAAGAGAGCAAGGAGGTGTGACCCTCTGGGCTATCTGCAGAGGTGTTTAAAAATGTATGCCAAGACTCTTTTGAGTTGAAATCCTCAAAGCAGCTTGCGCTGGCATCGCAGAAATATTAAAATAGAAAAGCATTCAGAAGTCATTAAACAGCAGAACATTCAAAGCAGGGACCTGCATTTGAATGAAGGCACAAACTCTCCGGAACTAAAGCCAGGATGTCTCTGAAAACTAAAAGAGACAGTTTAGGGGGAAAAAAACTGGCAACATAAAAGTCTCTGCAAGAGGAATCTTGGAGTCCTATTGTCCAGTCCTTTGCCAGGCCGATCCTCGAATACAGCTCGCCTGCCTGGATCGGATATTAATACAATCGAGCGAGTCCAGAGATATTTCACGAGAAGAGTCCTCCACTCCTCTGCTCACAACAGAATCCCTTACGCCACCAGGCTCAAAATTTTGGGCTAGGACAACCTGGAACTTCGCCGCCTACGGTCTGACCTGAGTGTACTACACAAAATTGTCTGCTACAACGTCCTACCTGTCAACGACTACTTCAGCTTCAACCTCAATAATATACGGACAAACAATAGATACAAACTCAAGGTAAATCACTCCAAACCCAACTGCAGAAAATACGACTTTAGCAACAGAGTGGTCAACGCTCTACCTGACTCCATTGTTAGAGCCTCAAACCCCCATAACTTTAACCTCAAACTGTCTAGCATGGACCTCACCCCATTCCTAAGAGGTCCGTAAAGAGGGCATGCATAAGCGCACCAGTGTGCCTACTATCCGTGTCTTACTGTCCCCATTTATTTGTACTCATTGCCTTTGTCAGCTCCGGCCCTCTGGAATGAACTCCCCGCAGGGATTCGGACCCTCACCTCTCTCCAGGC